GGTTTCCAGTAGTTGTCCTCCAGACTCGCTTATGTGACCTTGCACAGTTTATTTTATCTTTCAATGTCCTATTCTGGAAAAATGGTGAGGATAGTGCCCTCTCACAAAGATGTGGCAGAAATGAGCTGTTTATTGATTGTGAAATTGTCTGAAAACATCACACACCAGCTAAGTGCTAAGACAGGAAGCCAAAAGCTGTGGCTTTCCTAGTGGGTAGGCTAAATGTTTCTTTCAAAAAAATGTTTAAAATACCAAAGAAAGAAATATAATCCTATGATCAGGACTCAATCATCTCACTTCCTTAAAAAATAGATTTAAAGACACAAATACCATAATGGAATGAATGAACTTATTAAGCTCATTATTTACAAGTTAGATAGGGGGCTCCAAGAAGTGGGGCAACTAAGAGGAAAAATGGCTGGCCTGGGGTCAGGAAGACTCATCTTCCTGAGTTCAAATCTGGCCTCAGACACTTACTAGCTGTGGGACTCCAGGCAAGTCACTTACCTGTATTTGCTTCAGTTTCCCTATCTGTAAAATGAACTGGAGAAGGAAATGTCAAACCACTCCAGTATTTTTTGCCAAGAAAACCCCAAATAGGGTCACAAAGAGTTGGACATGACTGAAAAATGACTAAACAACTGAACTCCAGGAAATGAGAGAAAGACCAAAACGTGGCAGGGAGATGGTGGGAGGCATGTAGGAGAGGGAACTGGAAAGTACAAAAAAGAAACTTCCACTACTTCAGAAATTTGCCTGGGTGATGGTTCTACCTTCTCTTAGAGAGTCAGTGTGGTAGCATGGATAGCAGAAAACCCAGGTCAAGGTCACCCTCACACAATTCCTGGTTGTGTGATGTTGGGTAAGTCACAATCTCTCTGGTCCTCAGTTTCCTAATCTGTAAAATTAGGGTGGGGCCAAGCTTGTTAACCTCTCAGGTCTCTTCCAGAGTCAAATCTATGATCATATTGAAGAGACTTTAGAAATTTAATTTTACCCCTCCATTTTGTAGATGTAAGCCTGCAGTGGTAAAGTACTTGTCCAGGGTTCTGATTCCAAATCCAGCATTCTTTCCACTATGTCACACTGCCTCCCACACTTTACATTTAGGAAATTTCTCTTACCTACAAATAGCAGAATGAAGTGGGAAGGCCTGAGACTTTTTTTTAAACCTCATCCAGTTCTACAAATTAGAAATCAACTTGTTTTAAAAGCCCTGTTTTAAAATATCTTTTTTTTTTCTGAAGGGGGAGATTAAAACTGGTAATCATTTACTCTTTACTCTTTGTTGTTGTTCAGTCATATCCAACTCTTCATGATCCCATTTGGAGTTTTCTTGGCAAAGATACTGGAATGGCTTGCCTTTTCCTTCTCCAGCTCATTTTGCAGATGAGGAAACTGAGACAAACAGGGCTAAGTGACTTAGGGTCACTAGTAAATGTCTGAGTGCAGTTTGAACTCAAGTTTTCCTGACTTCAGGCCCAGTACTCTATTCGCTGTGCCACCTAGCTCATCAGCTGACTTAACACCTAGATAAAATGGTCAGAATTATTATTATTATCAATGTAAAATGGATACTTGGGGAGATATTGGGTGACCTTTGGACAAAGGCTAACATAGAGGTGTTGTTGGGCCCTTGGGGGACTGGGGCAAGGGAAGACCCAAAAGTACAAGGTAAGGGGATAGCTAATTATTTTGGAATTTTGTGTAATGCCCTAGTGGACAGCCAAGTGCCCCTGAAATTCCCTCCAGCGTTGCCTTTGGCAACCTTCCACATGGGTGATGCCCACTGTGCCGTGTAAATAGAAACATTAGTTATGCTACATAAAACTTGCATGTGTGAATCAGTGGAACTCAAACTTGTGTAAGTAGGGCTCCAATTTTATGTCTTCATACCCCGAAAGTAATGGTTTCAGTTGCTAGAATTATCAAGAGTGCTACAATCTCACACTTGGCATTTTCCAACTTTTGAGGAGTTAGTAAAAAAATGAACTGAACTTTGCATGAATTATTATAATTATGACTTTGGAAATGCATATAGAGCAAAAGTTCTCAAGTTTTTGTGTGCTCCTTCTTAGAATAATGGTTTTAAACAATTGAAGGAAAGGCTAAATCTCAGTTAAAGGTTAGTGAAAAGAAAGATGTAATTTTTTTCCTCATCCAAATTTATGGATCCCCTGAAATCTACCAATGGACCACAGGTTGAGAATGTCTGCTATAGAGGAATATACTGGCGGTTGAAGTTGGCTGTTAAATCTCTGCTGGTTGTTGGGCATCCTTCCTAGGGAAAGCCTCCTCCTGTCTTTAGCTCTAAAACAGTTCTGAAGATCTGAAGATTATGAAGAAACATTTCCCCCTACAACAAACCATTTCCTTCCTTCCAGAGAAAGCCTGATCTCTTTTGGACACCCTTATATTTCAAACTCACGCTATTTGCCTGCTGCTTCTCTTTTTTTTTTTTTTTTGTGGTGCCTTTGAGAGAAGTCTTGGTCTACTAAGGCATTTGCATGGGTAATTTTGCCCCCTTTTGTTATGGGAATTCTCGCCTGCTGCTCTTAGTCTCCAAGACATTCCATCCCTCTTCCATAGCTGCCAATCATTACGATGCCTTGGAAAATCACCCTTGCGCCACTAATGCCCCCTGAAAGAGAGCCCTCTGCAACATTAACTCCTCTCCCTTTTTTAGCTCTGACGTATTAGTTACATGGAAAGTCATTTAGAACCTGGCTATTAGTTCAGATCTTTGCCAGACAATAGCTGACAAAGCAGCTTTAAAGAAAAGGCTGCAATAATCCCTTATTTGTGGCTTCTAAGTGTTTGCTGGTCGAAGGGACTCCAATCCTGTAGACTGTGGCTCAGCTATTTATACTTAATCAGGTAATCACAGGGCTCACAGGGCCCAATAATCCACCTTCTTCCCCACTCATGCTGCTGCCTATGAAGATTCTTCACCTTAAACAGTGGCTTTATTGTTAGTAGAATTGTAAAATGTAGAATACTGATTGATTTATGACAGGAGTTCTTAACAGGAGGGTCAGTGAACTTGTTTTTTAAAAAACACTTTGATAACTGCATTTCAGTATAATTGATTTCTTTTTGTCTTAACACAGATTTAGGAAGGTTCAGAGTACCCAAAGCCCAGTACAAGGAAACATGGGGCTCATAAGACAGTATAGCAACTCAGCTTTATTGGGAGGAGATACATCAGGAAGATTGATGGGGCCCTGGGAAGAACTGGGCACCCCAATGGGGCCTCAGAGGGAAGAAGGTACCCTTTTCCCAGCCAGCAAAGTCTATTGTATTTTCATATATGTTTTTTTAATCTGGGCCTAGTAAGAACAGGCCTTGGGGAAAGAAAACAAGGAACCTGGACCTGGTGTCTGGTGCTGATTTAGGCTGGTAGAGATAAGATTCCTGGGGAAATGGAGGCTAGTTGATATATTGAAACACCAACAATCTCCTTCCTTCTTGCTGGAAAAGGGGCTTTGGGCTGTTACTGCTTTCTTACTCCAGCTGGGTAGCTCAGCTTTCCTGTCAAAAGTTTTTGAACATCCTTAGTAGGTCAGAGAGTCTCCAGTATTCCCTATTCTTTTGTAATCCTATGTATTTTTGTCCCTTTAAGAACATTCTGAGAAGAATGAGAAGACCCCTGAGAAGGGGTTCATGGGTTTTACCAGACTGCCAAAATGGTCTGTGTCATACTCATAGGAGTACTGTTAAGTATTCCTGCCTCATGTGGATTTATTTTATATCTTGCAACTTTGTAGGGTTCTCTAAGCAAGCCATCATATCATCTACAAAAATGGATATTTTTGTTTCTTCTTTGCCTGTACTTATTTTCCTCAATTTCTTTTTCTTGTCTTATTGCTATTATACCATAAGAAATGACGAAAGGGACGGTTTCAGAAAACCTGAGAAGACTTGTATGAACTGATACAAAATGAAATGAGCAGAACCAGAACAATTCTTATGATAACAATGCTGTAAAGATAGACAACTTTGAAACACTAAAGAATTCTGATCAATTCAAAGACCAAACAAGATTCCAGAGGCCTCATGATTAAGCAACTGTAGAGAGGGCTTTTTGCTCAAGAAAGGGAACGTGGTGCACTGGAAAGACCACTAGACTTGGAGCTGGGAAGACCTGGGTTCAAATCCCTCCTCAAACACTTACTAACTGTCTGACCCCAGGGAAATCATTTAATTTCTCTGTACTTCAGTTCCTTCATCTGTAAAATGAATGAACTGGACTTAATGGTCCCCAAAGTCCTTCCAGCTCTAAATCTGCAACCCTAAGTTCTGTGGTAGGTCAAGAAAGAGGAAGAACGCTGGTTGGAGGCAACAGATGGGCATGATGTAAAAGAAAGCCAGCAGATCAAAACCTAGGACCCTGAGAAAAGGGATCATCCTGGAGAGCTGGGCCCAGCTCCTCAGAGCTCTTCCCCTCCCCCATCCTCATTCTTGCCCTCCCTGGAGTCCTCTCCCTGCCAGTGCCCTATGCCCGTTCCTATTGCCTGCTGGCTTAATGTTAGAGTCTCATGGGATGGAGAGGGGGAATATCGTTCTTATTTCCTAAATTGGAACTTTAAACATATTTTCCGATTTAAACATGGCAGCTCAGTTCTATTGTACTCTTCTATTTTTATTTATCTAATTTCCTTTTTTTATTGCAAACTTAAACATCCACACAAACCTTTCAATATACAAAGAACAAGAAAGGAATCTTCTATATGATATGATCCTTCAGGTACATCATGGATTAAATAAGCTTTTGTGAGTTAGTCAAAGCCATAGGTAACCTCCTTAGGAAAAGGACTATTTTTGCTTTTCTTTGTATCGTCGATGCTTAGCATAGTGCCTGTTACACAGCACACACTTATTAAATGCCTGTTCATTGACTGGTAAAACACTATGTGTTTTTGCTTCCAAGCCACTGATTCACAACTGTATTTTAGAACACAACCATTTGGTCAGTTGGGATCTGCCCGCATTCCAGAATTGTCAGGCAAAGGCTGACATTTTTATGTGGAGAAAAATCTCCAACTCCCACTTGGAACCAAGGTAAGATTTTTCACCCCATCTCTCTTCTCTTCCCTTTCCGACCCTTCCAGGACCAAAATCTTGTCAGAGATTTATCTTAATCTCCCCTCTGCCCAGGCCAGGCAGTGGAGAAGCAGCCAACACCTGAATCTCTTTCACACTAGGTCAACAAAAGAAAACAAAAAATAAAGGCAGCAGGGTCAGCCATGTGACACCAGCCCAGGACACCAGGCTCTCCTGCAGGTACAACAGCACACACTGGAAAGACCAGTCTCAGGGCTGACTCCACAGTCAGACTGAAAGTCAGATGCAATAGCAACCGCTTTAGCTTATGTAATATCCCACATCAGAAGGCATTTTATAGTCGATGTTAAATCATCAGCAGCAATCTTTGTATGAGCAACCATTGCCCAGTCTTGTGTTCGGGTATAGAAACCATGTAGAGGAGAAACATTTTATGCCCCTATGCATAAAATGTTTAAGGCCAGATTTACTTTTATAGAAATGCATGGCAGGATAAAAATTGAATAATAAAACCCAATAAGAGGATATTTTTGCCTGAGACCAAAACACTTATTTCATCAGGACTGGTTGTTTTTTAGGGTACTATTTCCCAACAAATGTGTTATGGAAACCACAATGATGTGTAGAGGTAATGAGCTGCCTCTCCCACTTTTGGCAACTCATCAAGCAAACTGCTCTGTTCTCCACCTCCAATCCCTACGCCTTCCATCAGTACCTGGGTTATTTCCACATCACGGAATCCTAGAATGTAAAGGAATGAAGGAACCTTAAACATCATCTAGTCAAACTCTCTCATTTTTTGGAAGTTTCTTCTCTCGTGTTGAGCCACTTTTTTTCTTCCAGATTTCTCTCCTTTCTTTCCATTCTTATTAATAAAATTTTCGTCAGTGCTCTCAAATGCAAATGACCTCTTTGATGTTTACAGGACTCATCTCTTTGCACTTGTACTATCACAAAGACTGGCTAATCCACTCGCATACTTATTTGAGCAAAGGAATGCATATACCATGACTTGGGGGGGGGTTGGGTCCCTGCATCTACCCATCATGTCTTAGAGCAAGGGTTCTTAACATGGGATACACTGACCTCCGAGACTTTAGGGGTCTGTGAAATTATATCTTTAATTTTGCTAACCTTTAACTGACATGTATCATTACCTTCTATTATGAATACAGGCAACAAAGCATTATTCTGATAAGGGGTCCACAGGACTCACTAGGTCCATGATGCACGGAAAAAAGTTAAGAACCCTTGCCTTAGAGTGTAGTCAAACATATTTCTTCAAAAACCTATTTTCTCTTGCCCCCTCACCCCTAATCTCCCACCTCCGTGTAGTGGAAATCATAATGGATGTAGAGTCACAAATCTTTGCTTTGCTTCTTACTATCTATGTGACTTTGACTTGGGCCTCAGTGCCTCATCCATAAATTGGGATTTTGAATTAGATAATTGCTAAGAACTCTTCCATCTCCAAATCCTATAATCTCCATGTATCACCCAGGCACCTAACTTATGAGTGTCAGCTGGTCCTTGAATTAATTTATATTAGTGGATAAAGAAACTTCTACTCTCCACCCCCATACTCAAGATGAATCTGAGGTATGGAGTTTTAGAGTTCCCTTCATCACCCCCTCCCACCTTTTGCAGTGACTTTGAGAACTAAGTAGGGTGAGAATTCAACTACAAAGGGAAAAAGAGAAAGGAGTTTAGTGAGCTAGGTTAATTAGATACCTGGCTGGCCAACCTATAACTCCCTATCATTCACGTTAGAGATATTCTTTTAAGAAATCAGGCTCCACACCCAGCCCTTAGAAGAATGCCAGCATTCCAGCAGCTTCGAAAATCATGCTGATGTCAGAAAGAAGCAAGACATATATGGTTGAGGAAAAATTATTCTACTTAGTAGTTTTTTTAAAAAATCCCATTTTACATAAATAAACATTTTTAGTGCTTTTTAAAAATCAGTGCTGTCATTTCCCTGTGACACCTCCTCAACCCTCCCCTCCACCCCCCCACAGAACCTCCCTTCATAACACAAAAGATGTTTTAAGCAAAACAAACCAATATGTTGGCCAAATCTGACAACATATTCATCATTCTGTACCTATAAGCCATCATCTCTTTAACTAGAGGTCACCATCAGTCCTCTAAAGTCAAGAATAGTCACTGTATGATGGCTTCAATGTACCTATCACTTTCCTACAAATCTTCCCTTTCTCCCTAGCCCTCACTTTCCCACAAATCTTCCCTTCTTCCCTAGGCCTCACTCTCTGAGCCTCATTCAGTTGAAGGGTCAGGATCTAAAGATCAAGGTCCTGAAAGCTCTCACTTGATTTAAGCCCCGGGCAAAGGGCCAGATGAATTAAGAGCATGTATAGCTCCAAAACAGAAGGTAGAAGAAGTCCTTTTGCTAATGGAGAAGAAAATCCCTAAGGCCCAAATGGAGAGAGAGGAGAAAGTCAAAGCTTTGATCTTTGAAGATGGCACTGAGAGAAGAGGTAGGAGGAGGATTCTGACCTAGATAATGGACTAGAGCAGAAATAAGGAAAGAGAAATATTAGGGCTTAAACTTCTCCCTGAAGTAGTTCCTAGGAACCTGTGACTATGGAGAAAGTTTGTTTCATGGAGGCATTTAGAAGTCTGGAGTGGACCCCTTCTCAGAACATTTTTAAATACATAAAATAAAATAAATAGGATTACAAAGGACATACTGAATTATACTGAAATACAGTTATCAAATATTTTTTAAAAACAAGTTCACGGATAACATATTAAGAACTTTTGGTCTAGAATATCCAGAGGAAGGGACAGTGACACTGATGGAAGGTGTAAACTTAAAACCTGACAACAGGATTCCCAACAGCCTGGAGGAAAGGGAGAATTGATGAAAAAATCAGAGAACATCAGAACTGTCTGGGGCCCTGTGGCTAATGCAGCTGCAAGACAGCAGTCCACATTTCCCAGGCTTTAGCTAAAGACCACAAATGGGAATATCAGAAGACAGGAAGAGAATGGGGATGTCAAATTCCACTGTAATAAATCAGATTTGAGGAGTCACTAGGGGCATGAGTCTTAAGTATTTATAGAATACTTGCAGTTTATTTTTCTTAATTTTCTGTAGTGCTTTTCCCAGCGTTCCCAACAGGACAGTATGATCAGTCTAAAATCAGGGAGAAGGAAAGAAGTGTCAGAAAGTTGAGGCAGCAAAGTGGCACAGAGTACAATGGATATGCAGTAAAGAAGGTACGAGTTCAAATCTTGACCAAGACACTTACTAGCTATGTGACCCCTGGGCAAGGAGCTGAACCTCTGTCTGCTTCAGTTTCCTCATCTGTACAATGGGAATAATAATTAACACCTACCTCTCAGGTTTTTCGTGAGGATCAAATAAAATAATATTTGTATAGCATTTTGTAAGCCTTAAAGCACTATGTAAATGTTGGTTATTATTATAATATGATATAATGTAATAATATGATTTGATACATAATAGGATATATTATATAATATTATATGACATATTAGATAATATTATTTGATTATATCATGTTAATATATTATTATATCATATTAATATAACATTATAATTGTCTTCTCTGTGACTCAGTTTCCTCATCTGTAAAAAGGAAGGGTGGACTTGAAATCTAACATCGCCTCCAACTCTTTGGTTCTATGACTCTGTGAGTCCAGAGAAATTAGTGGAGCATTCCTGGAATCTTTTTTTTTTTTGGCTAGGCAATGGGGTTAAGTGACTTGCCCAGGGTCACACAGCTAATAAGTGTTATGTATCTGAGGTCACATTTGAACTCAGGTCCTCCTGAATCCAGGGCTGGTGCTCTATCCACTGTGCCACCTAGTTGCCCCCTGGAATCTTACAGTCAATTGTGAAAATGGCCTAGGATCCATATATGCACCCAGGACCGCTATCCCTTATTTGGAGGCAGGATGAGAAAATGGGGAAAGTGCTAGATCTAGAGGTAGAGGGCCTGGGTTCAAATGCTGACTCTTTGCTCCTTGCTGCTGTGAGATCTCGGGGAAACTCTATGGTTCTCATCTTCTTATCTGCAGAATGAGAAGGCCTGGACTAGGGAGTCTCTAAGGGTACTTACAGCTTTAAATCGATGGTCCTGTGTGTAAGCTGTTTCTGTTTTTCTGAGAACCAAGGTAATCCTTCTTCCTGAATGGGGAAGCCAGGTAAAGAAACAAGGAACAGAGGAGACCTGAAACCAGTAGGCAGATGTGGCGTGACCTCACTTAGGGCTCGAGGGCAGCAAGGATGACCAAGCTTCACAGCAAGTGAGTCTGTACGGTTTCACTGGAGTGTGGGGGGGAAACAGCTTGAGGCCCACAGAGCATCCAAAGTGAACAGAAAGGGCTGCCTCCCCCCTATTCCCCCTTTAGCACCCTCCCCCTTCCTGGGCACCCTGCAGGAGCTGTATAGGGTTTTACTGGCCCTAACAATAGCATGAGGTCACCAAGCAAAGGGCTAATAGATTTACTTAAAGGTAACACAGACATCATCTAATACAACTCCCTTCTTGATTTATTTCATGTCTTTTTTTTTTCTTTTTACAAGAGGAAACTCAGGCCCGGAGAATGGAAGTGATTTGCTATGTCAGGGGAGGGTAATAAAGGCAAAGTTCAAACCCAAATTCTCCAAGGCCAAATCCATCACTCTGTCTGACCACTAATCACACCTTGCTGCACAGGAGGGGAGTTAGGCCTGGCCTCTTTTTTTCCTAGTACCCAATTCATTTCTCTGATCCTTCCTTCCCAGTATGGCAGCCAGTCTCACAAGGGTATGCCTCACAGACTCTACCCTGACTTGGATTTTACTTTGGGATGGGGGTGTGCTGGTAAATGTTTAACAACTAGTTCTCTAGTTTAAAAAAATGTTCACAGGACCCACTTTTAAATCCAACCTGCATTATTAATATTTTCTCCATCACTTTCTAAAGTCAAAACACTAACAAAACAGTAAGCCAAGCGCCAACTTTTAGCATTTGCAGATTTATGAGATGTCAATGCTCACACTGAAAATTTAACAATTATCTTGCCAGCCAGTTAGAGCTAGTTCTAGCATAGCCCTGGCTCTGGCAACAATTTATGGTGACCTGTGTGACCTTGGGCTTACATAGCTTCCTGAGTCTCAGTTTCCTCATTTGCAAAGTGAAGAGGCCTAGGATTGCTGTGTGTTCAGGTGTGGTAGAAGTTTAAAAAAAAAAAGGAGTATGCAGATTTTAATACATATAAATCTGATATATCATTAATCATTTCATGAGCAAAAATTGGAACACAAAAGCAGCTGGACTTGGAATTTTTTAAAACTTGAAGTCCTAATAATCCAGTTATTAAATGTGCGACTTTGGGAAATCATTTCCCCTCCCTGGGCAAAAATGAGGAGATTGTATTAGATATTCTCTAAATTTCTAATGTTTAAGACACAGTTCTTGTGTCCACGGAATTAGAGAGACAAGAATAAACAGATTTGTATCACTGCTGAGCCTAGAGGGTAGACCAGAAAACAAAATGATTTTCCTGGTAACCAAGGTACTCTTTGTTCAGGTACCAGGTACACACTTTGTCCATAGATATACAAAAATCCTTAACTTCCTTCACGCTTTAATTTTTTTTTTATCAAGAAGAAGGAATCTGGCATGCCATTATTTTTTCCTTTCTTTCACATGTGGCCATTGTTTCCAAGAGAATCATCTGGGCCTTTTCTTTGTCCAAAGGAAAAAAAAATAATGCAGAGGTAAAAAAGCAAAATAAGCAAGCACTTACTTTCTCATGGTATGCGCTGAAATAAATAGACACAGACACTCCCATGCCCAGTCTCACCCCAAGGCTAACATCTCCCTTCTCTCATTCACACAAATAATCT